AGATAGTATTTCCTAGTCCCGACACACACCAGACCTCGAATCACCCAGGCTTTGGTGCAATTCCGCATATGTGAGGTTGTTTGCAAGGTTGTTGTCACCGTCCCTGCCACAACGCGGATGCAGCGCCCACCTTCTCATTTAGTAGGTCAAACCAATTTGTGTCAAATTTTGTTCAGTAAGTGTGCATTGAGGTGGTACTTCAGTGTTGTGTGCTGTATGAAGGTCTTTAGCGCTTTTAGCATGAATTACAGTTTTCGCAAACCTTGAATGATTCGTCATCGGCAACGTCCAAGTAACTTTTGCATAATTTTGCGAACGAGACATATATGGACAATCGCTCAGGATCATTCTTATCCTTCCAAACCTTTTTAGAAGCTAACGTCAGCTCGTACATAAGTTCCTGAAAAAATACCAGTTTGACTCTGAGGTTCAGTAGAAGTTGTCAAAGTGAACACTTCCATGAAGAGGTTCATTGGACATCTTTAACCACTCATATACAGTCAAAACGAACTTTAAGCCTGTTCCATGTAAGCTGCCTCTCGTCGTCTCGAGCGCATCGGCTCATCCTGCTGAACGTCTCATAAATGGACTCACAATATAGATTTAGCCATTCACTATCCTTTCTGCAATTTGCAAAATATAAGGACGATCCGGTAGTAGGCAGAAAACTTTGATGCTTCTTGAAGTGCAATAAAAAGATTTTCTTGAAAGAAAACTTCAAAAAAAACATCGGGACAAGACCGCGAAAGGTTTGTTTCTAGACGGTTCCCAGAGTTTACAAAGTAATGGACAAACGTGATTAGACATTGGTTCAGTTCTCACATCATAAGAACTACAAGTTCTCAAATGCTCATAGGTTAACTCGTGATAGGATTGATCCTGGCGTGTATAGCTGATATCGTCACAATCAGTCGGGGCAGTGTCAGGAGGCGTAGAATGAGCCCGTTTCCCAGCTGCTTTTTCTACCAATAATGATCGGTTAGGAAGAAAACAGTCAAGCGATATCAGATACTCTCAGGTGAGCTCATTTTTCGCCTGCCGACGCGCTGCGATCATTGATTACGACGAAATAGAACTAAAAGAATCGTGGCTCCTGCGCCAGCGGCAAAGTGACCGACGGGCTAACTACCTGCATCCATAGCGGTTAAACAATAAATTGAATTGTTTAAAACAAGCCAGGGAATGCATCCACCGTACATACGAACAGTAGCGATAGTTGCGCGGCATCGAAAGTACCACTACACAAGTCGTTGTTCGTTTGGAAGGTGGGAGGGGTGTGGGGATGGGTTTGATCGAGGCGTCGCCCCTTACTTTCTTTTTCAACAAAGCTACAACATCCTATATATATTGCGTTCGTGTCAGTCGTTTTACACCATTCGTTGTCAGTAATCAGCCTCAAGAGGAGGTGGAATACGGACTGGCGGTGCGCCAAATCCAGCCTCATTGCACGGCGCGCAGGCGCCCTCATCCGGAGGAAGAAGACTATACCTATCCCTTCGCTAGTATCCCGATTAACCCTGATTCGCAACAAGGAAAGTCGGCTTCTTTAGCTAGGGAGAAGGATAAAATGCACTTATTTTTCCAAGCATTTTTTTGCAGAATATGTAAAAAAATCTGTGAACAACTGAGAAAATACTTACACAGGCTTGAAATTTTCCAGCACGCCAATACAGACGTTGCACGCGTCCTTCTTTTCCTCGAATGAACAACTGTAACATTTGGAAGTACGTTAGACCGAAATATTGAAATAAGACCATACATGAAGCTCAGTTTTGCATGGTTGAAGGCACTTTATACGCCCACCTTTACTTTGAGGATCCTGGTCCCTGCTATGTGGAGGTGAATAGGTTCGCAGCTGTAGAAGTGTGTCCCTTTTTTCATTTGAATTTGCGCGGAAATGAGCTAGAGGGTACTGCTTGGTGAAGTTTGAGGCTCCACCTGCAGCCAGATCGCAGCATGTGACACGCCACACTGCCAGCTATGAGCCAAGCCAAGCAAACTGCTGTTCTTTTCTGCACCTATCTTGTTTGATTGTTCTCGAGAGCTGTTGTTCTCTACACTCGGCCGCAATAGGCAGCTCGCCCTTGACGCTGTTCGTTGCGAGAATGCAAATGCTGCACGTTGTGAATAGCAGGTGGAGTCAGAAACGGCACACAGCTATCACGACATTCCAGCTTAATTTTCAAGTACTACCTTCAAAGTCTACAGCTGCGGACCCGCTCACCTCCAACGTAGCACGGTGACGCTTCGCAGGTACAACTTATCATTAATTAGTTTTCTGGGGACTGAGGTGGTGTGGTGGCAAGTGGCACCGCTTGCCAAGCCTTGTTCCAGGGCTTTTATCCCAGTCCGCAACTATTGGCGGGAAACAGTTTTCTGACTGCTTCCCATTTCACCTCAAGTTACACGCCCCATCGTTTAGTGAGAACCATGAATTCACCCAAAGATTGGTCAGCCCATCGTGTTGTGAGAACATGACCTACCTCATTCTTTTCTTTCCCGTCTATACTTTTCGGAGACAAGCGATAGCTACGCCCATCGGGTTTGCTCTTACTGAAAATATGCCCCGTATGGCGTGGCCGTTACTCGACCTGGGCAGAAAGGACACGGGGAACCACGTGGCAATGCGAAGCGAGGGCAACTTACCGCTGCAAGTCAGCGTCTCTGCTCATCAGTTACTACTTACATTAGTAATGCTTCAGCAATTTTACTTTTTGACAAGATGATGTTAAACACATGAGTAGAGTGTGCGTAGAGAAGAAAGGTGAAGAATTCTCAGTTACTTCACATAAAAAATAAAAAATAAAAACAATAAATATAATAAAGGAATAAGAGTATGAATATGAAGGAAACGAATAAAAGTGTGCGTGATTGTTATGCTCAAGTTGAAGGCACGCTCCACTCTAACTGCATGGGTGGAGGACGGTAAAGAACTGAGCTTTTTCATTGGCGCTCTCTTCATCTCCTCCACATAATATGGATGGACGCAAAAATGAGGACTGAGCATTGGTCGACCGTCTCCGCCCATACGATCAGCTTGGACTATGCTCTCAATGGTACAAAATGCAACTAGACCAACCTAGTCAATTTTTCTGTTATAAGTAAATTGATCACTTCCATCTCGCTCACAGAAAGAACAATCTCGGCATCTGATGTGTATCTGGAAAAATGATCATCAACAGTGTGAACAGGCAAACGAAATGAACTTGAAAACGCCGATACTTTAGCCTATTCCTGTCATCAACCGTCCTTTAATGTGTCCTCTTGAAGACACCCTGTACGCTTACCTACAAAAATGGATCCTTACTAGGTGCAAAATGAACAGGTCCGCATGTGTGGAAGCACACAATTTTCATTACTCGAAAGTGCACGGGAATGATATTGGAGGGTTGCAATAGCTCTATGCCGTTCCTGACTCCACCCTCTATCCACAACGTACGTCATTTGCTAGGTAGAGAACAATCAATCGGAGGAGGGCGCAGGCAAACAGCGCGTTTTGTTAGATTTGTAGTGATCCCGTCGCATATGGTATCATGTATCAGGACGCGCGAATGTGAGCGTACAGCGTATCTTTGAAGGCAGAACCGGCGATGACTGTACGGGGCCGATACGAGCGTACTACTGCACTTTTCACATTGACTTGCCTCTTCTTGTTTATCATTTCAAGGGAAGGACGTGGATCTGGGCTTCTTAACACTTCCGGATGCCGTCCGGACTGATAAAGGACTCGCTAGTCGAAATAAGAGAATGAACTGGAAGATAAACTTGATCCATCTGAGATCTCCATCACTTTCTGACACGATTGACATGTAACACTTTCAGTAACCGTAAACGGGGAGGATATGGCTTATTCATTCTAGCGTAACTCCGGTGCGCGCCCGATACCGTCGTTTCATGGGCAATAGTAAAGCTGCGTTCATACTTTGCGGCAGCGTCCACCAGCGTCCACCAGCGACCGCTAGCTTTTTGAGCATCCGGCAGCCTTCCAACCGACCAGGAAAGTATAGAATATCAGATCTAGCGTTTTGCTAGCGGCCTCCAGCGTCAGCTGCCTTCGGCAAGCGTTAACCACCAGCGACCACGCGGAAGCATTTCCGGAGGTAGAGAAGTATAGTTTGACATCTAGCGTCCGCATCAGCGTCTGCCACGCTTTCACTAAGCGCACCGGGAGTATAGCAGTAAGTGGGAACAGGACGGTAGCAAACTACCTGGATTTAGGCGTCGTAGGAATGGCGCCGTGGAACGTACAACTACACTAGCAAACCGTGGCACTAATTCATAAATTCTGTGCTTACAGCATTGAACTGTGCAGTTGCACACAGCGCCGTAATTTATGCGCCAACCAGCATGTTTGTTTCCTCCTACTTCAGCATAGCTCTAACTCGCGGCCGCCGGTGAACGTGGTAGACGCTGCGCAGGACGCTACCACAAAGTATTAGCACAAGCCTTACTGGATTTGAAGAGAGTTCTGTTGGCTAATCATTTTCGAATCTATCGCCTTCCCCCGCCACACCGAGTACTGGGGAATGTCAGCTGTTCTTGTCTGTAGATTTGCTTAGGTGAAGACCTATGGTATATCTGTAATTTTCGATACGGCATTACAAATAATAGTCTCTTTTTTGAATTTGATGCCCGTCGTTCGAACCGTGACCAGGAGTGTCTAGAATGTCAATGTAATAGTAATCACTGGCGATCGTGCATACGGACCGCTACTAATACGCATAGCATAAGTGTGCTTTTTTGATGCGAGTTTCCTGGACGCTCTGAGTTACCTTATACGTAAAAAGATATAATTAGTTAGTTACAGTGGCAATCAATCAGTTTCAAGAAGAATGGAATGTATTCACCTGCGCGAATCTCAACCATTTGATTGTTTGCTCTCGTTAATCGATTCACCGACCGACATAAACTGGTAAGAAGACATCTGAGGCGGCTCATTACGCCCCTCCTGGCAATGCCCTGACTGACTGATATGAACTATGGAAGAGCGGTGAAAACAAGCAGTCACATAATTGTGGGGTGAACGGTTAATTTCTTTAGAATTAATGTGTCCCTTCGCAGTAAAACTGACGAAAAAGTATCGGAATCAACAAAGAATGTAAGAGAAAAGTTGAAATGAAAATTGCGCGCGGCGCTTACTTGTTACCAATTTTTGGCCACCCTTTGATTTGATTGCGGGGAAGCTTTGGAAGAAAAGGTTCAACGAGCTCACCAGATTTTATTCAGATACAAATACTCAAACGCAATCGAATTAGAATTGAACTGACTGTGATAAAACAGCGAGCGCTTCATCTGGCTTGCCTTCGTCACTGAGCGCACGAGCCTTTTGGAACGCTTCTTCTCGTTCTGACATTGCTGGATCTGTCTAAACAAGTATAAATTATCCAAAAACTTTATTAGGGTGTCATGAAATGAAACAAAGATGAACTGGGCAATCACGTCATAAGTGAAATTTCAAAGGAGAGGAGACAACCTAAACTATGGAAGAGGATCCTATTTCAGTAAAGAAAGTTACAATTATGCAATAATTCTCGAAATATGAAAAGTGTTTCAATAGCACAGGGTTCAAAAGAAAGCACTCTCTAGAAAAAAGAATCCTATTTCAAATGAGATCATGAGGATCCAGGCAACATATGATGAGGAATCGATGGTAGCTCACATGTGTATTGGAGTCGGAGCTTGAGCGTGGGTGTTCTATTCCCATCCTCTTCACCTTACACAACAGCTGTCAACAAAGGTTGCATGAATTGGTACACCTATGAGCAATTTTTGCTAAAACAGCTGTAACAAGTAAAGTTTTTGAATAGGCAAAAGGATGAAAATACTGTGTACATTTATAAAACTTGATGAAGTTATAAGAACAATGGTGAAATGCTCGTTTTTATTGAAATATCGTTATCATGCGACACATATCTCAGAAATAGTTGTATAAATAAAAACTGTACTCGAACTGACGTACTATATCGTGTGGAAGTAAATGATTAATGGTTAATTAGTGGCCAATTAATGCGGAACAAGATAATAGACAACGAAACAGCGTAAATTAATGCGGTAACAGACTCTATCCGGGCCAATAAGGGTGTTTTGCATGCCGCTGGGGTGGTCGCAAGATGTTCTCACCAGTTTCACCATATCTGGCAGTAGCGTGACTGCCCTGCAGATTGGTAGTCGTGAAGGATTACCTAGCCTGTCATTCCAAGAGGCAAGTGCACTGATTTGACAAAAAGTTCCTCGGTGGGGGCAGGAAAATTCTTGAATCTGGGCGATGAAGTCACCAATGGAAAAACAATGCGGATTTGGGGAGCCAGTTCGCTAGTGAGCAGGGGGGGGGTGTTAATTTCCCTTTGTTTCGCTTGTTCTCATTGTTGGTGTTGGGACAGCATTTAGCGCGAGGCATGGTGTGGTGGGCAAGCAGTCACGGCGCGTTAAAGGCACATTCCGCGTTAAATATAAGGCTACGCCCCTCGGTCAAAATGGTGGTCGGACGCCGAACGGGCGATTTTCTGAGGCTGCGCTACTTTCAAAATGTGAAAAACGGCAAGAACTCCGCTAGAAGCTGACTAATTAGGCCCATGGACACCCCTTAGGCCCATGCCGACCCTCACCGGCTGCTAGCTACTAGCTAGTAGCCACTATGTTATCTTTCTCTAATAACATACGAGCTTGTGCTTTTTCTGCTGGTGCTTTCTCCGCTAACCAGATACTTAGCAACGTTTTGTGTCTGTTGACAGTTCCGTTCCCGCCCTAGCACTTTGCGGCGTCGCAAACCGTGCTTTGAAGCGTAAAATTTCCAAGGACCATGGGCCTAGGATGGATTATTAGGCCAGCAGGCCAGGGTCAAGCCTGTTCAATTTTCTAGGTCCGACTTGTAGAATCGGTACCGGCTGGTCAGCGGTCTTGGAGCTGAGTAAAAAGCATGGAGCATCTGCAGAGGGATTGGATCAATCATGGAGTTTGGCTCTTGCATCTTATCAAACGTGGAGACATCTTGTTACAGTTTTATTGAAAGCTTTTCGCATGTACGATACTGTCAACTCGATCGTTCCATCGAAATCGCAGCGAAACCGGCCGAAGCGTAAACTGAATTCACCCCTCAGCGTTTTTTGCAGTAGTAATTGACAGTGGTTCTCTAGGCACAAACTGCCGTTGCGGGGGGGGGGGTATGTCGAAATTTCCACATCTCTCAGACCCCACTCCCACCTTCCCCATCCTTCGTCCTACCTATCATATTGCCAAATTTTCCCAGATTCCTACCACTTTTCCCGAAGTTTTTTTCCCAGTAACTCTCCAGCTTTCCTGTGGAGAAGTTTCATCAGACGGGATAGGGTGTATACCTCGCCGCAAAAAAAGAAAAACCTGGAAAAGTAACCAATCGAAAACAATTTCCTCAAAGACACGTACAAGCCACTCAATAGGGGTCTTCAACGTACGACATGCCCTGGTTGTACCAGTAAAACGGAAACGTTCCAGTTCTTGTATGATAGTTTCGCTTTCCAATGCATATTAGGCTCTGATCGTTATAAAGTACCATTTCTATCCAAGATCCGTGCAATCGCAAACAAATGCGTCATCGTTATTGAAAAAACCAGTTAGCGACGCAAGTTCTACGCTAGCGGTATTGGCAAAGTATTGTTCAACGTAGGTTTTATGACAACGACATTTGTATTACTTCTTTATGAATTTTTTTGTGCATATTTCATTCCTAATATCGACATGCTTATGGATTCTTCTTATACAGGCATGCCTTTCCATGGTTAGTTTTGGGTCCTGAGACATCTCTGGTCAGAGCACGTCATATCCATGGGGATCCCTAGAGAGGGGCTGCATTTGCCTTCAAGAAAAATAATGTAGATTTTTAGGTTTTCTCGGTTTTTCCTGTTTCAGGTGCGCTACATGCCCTTTCAAGACTCCCTTGCCCTCCTTTGGAAAAGCTAATCTAGGGAAAGTGTGGAGAAAAAGGAATGGGGAAAATTTAGGATGAAATGTAGGATGGGAAAAGGGAATGAGAGGAGGTTGGAAGCTTAACGTACAGGGCGACGATTTGTGGTGGGTTGGGGGGGTGTGTTCGCCATATTTCGCACCAAAAATTTTTCGCAGAGCGACAGATACGCTACTCGGTT